AACGCCTGAAAAACATCCTCAAAATATTGCACCACCGGTATACTGCCCAAGTCAACGTCCGGTCCTCCTTCCGTGGTAGTGATCGTTGCTAGATATGCCTCACAACCCTTCTCTATCAGCCGTTCTGCTTGAATATCTGAAACCACCAAACTTCCTGAGGTTGATCTAACTCCCTGATAAACCAAGACCTCCCTGTCTCTCTCAAACCGCATCCTTCCATGGTGACAATCCAAGTGAGCTCTATACTTGCCTAACCAGTCCATTCCCAAAATGACATCATAGGACTTAACCCTGCAGATCACTAGATCCGCCGGCATGTTCACTTTGCCAAACATCACTGGAACATTTTTGACCGTTCCTAGTGAAAACATCACTTGGCCTCCAGCCGCCTGAACTAATCCAAAGTCCTCTCCGGGTTCCTTCTGGAACTGCCCCTTTCCGATCATATCTGGATTAACAAAACAATGACTCGCTCCTGAGTCAAACAGAACATGGGTTTCAACCTTACCCATTAGCAAGGTCCCTACACATTCATTCCCTAGAATGCTAAGACTCTATACTAACACACATCACGCAAAAGCAATTTACGAAAACACTATGTACCACACGTACCAGTAATCGGATGAGAAGTGCTCGGTTCCTCGGCTGCTGCTGCACTCGTCGTGTACACCCTCGGCATAATGGCCTTTCTCTTGGCCTGTGATGCAAGCGCCTCCCCTGCTCTCTTCCCTTGAGCCACGGCTTGCTCCACCACTCCTGCCTTAGGACACTCACGCTTGAAATGCCATGGTTCTCCATAACTGTAGCAAACCTGAACCGCACCATTACTGCTGGACACACGAACCACTCGCTGATCCTCCTCCGGACAGTCTCGTACCCGATACTCTAAGCTCCCGCACATGTGGCATCCACTACCACCGCGCCTACACTCGCCAACGTGAACCTTGCCACACTTGTGGCACACGCTGCGTCCCCCAGATCCTTTGTTCGGTGCTCCTTTCCCGAACTTCCGGTTCTGTCCACTAGACTGATCCGCCTTGGTCACGGCTGTACTAGCCCCAGCTGACATCAAAGCAGCTTCCGCCTGTCCTGACTCCAACAATGCCGCCTTCTCAACAAGCTCAGCAACTGTCCTGAAGTCACGGACTACACATCCGTTCCTAAGCTCAACTCGCAGTCCGCTCATAAACCTACGAATCAGCTTCTCTTCCATGTCAAACTCCTGAGACACATACTTCCTCAACTGGTTGAACTGAGTCTCATACTGCCTCACTGTAAGCGTCCCCTGACTAAGGTACAGAAACGCCTTCTCCAACTCGTTGTTAGCTTTCTGTGGGAAGTACTTACTCCTGAACATCGCTGAAAACGTCTTATATGAACAATTTGCATTCACCAGCCTTCAAACGATTCCTTTCCACCACGTGTGTGCATCACCCTCCAAGTAGTGCATGGCTATGTCTCTCTTATAACCCTCTGGACAACGGATAGACTCAAAATTCCGTTCAAGCCTCATCCTCCACTCATCCGCCTCAATCGATGTAGAACCTCCAGCAAAGAACTTGGTTCCCAACCGCACCATGTGATCCAGAACCTTGAGGTAACTCGGAACCCTCTCCACTTGGTCCGCTTCCTCCCCAATCACATCCGTGTGAACCCCCACCGGTGGTACTACTTGTGGTGCTGCTGCAACCGCTGGAGCAGGAGCCACCGCAGGTAGCCTAGCTAGTACCTGTGCTAACATCCCAAGCACAGCCTCTAACCCCACTGGTGCCACATTCGCAGCAACCCCAGCTGCACCCGGAGCATTCCTAGCCACGTTTTCAGCATCCGCAGCATTCCTTGCTGCCTCCACGGCTGCCACTCTAGCCGCCTCATTTACAACCGCAACTGCCTGTCTCTCGGCTTCCCTTGCCCTCTCAGCAACATCACCGTTGACTGAGTTCACAGACCCCGCAGCCTGGTTGTCCCCATTGTTTCTCACGGTTCTTCTGGTATCAACCATCTGCAAGTACACAATGCCAGTTAGCCGAAGCTAACTCAAAACGTGTTTCACAACACCACACAACTACTTACCGCGAGACCTTGGCAGTGAAGAATGGATCGGACCCCCATAAACCCCAAATAAACAAATAACAGCAGTCACCAATTTCAGTCCTAGAAGCGTTAAAACTCTCTGATACCAACTTGTGGTAACCTAACCCGGTAAACCGTACCGCGGCTGTGTCCCACTACATCCTCTAAGTCCGTTTCTATACTTAGCCATATTTTTAAACTTTTTCTTCATTCTTATTATTTCTTATCAATACACAGCAGAATATAGAGCAACTCATTTCTTTCATTTAACTTGCATAAAATCACTTAACAGGATTCAGGATTCAACATAAATAAAAGCACAAGGTTCGCTAAAGGTTACAACTGATCATCTAGCAACCTAACGATCAAACACCAAAGCCATAAGACCCTAAACACAAGTCTTAACATAATAAAACCAAGTCCCAATCCATCCATATCCATCACTGCCGCTCTCGCCCCTTTACTGATTAGTACCTGCACACTCAATATGAGAGGCATAAGTATATCATAAATACTTAGTGAGTACGGTCATCCCGTAATACCTGGTCAGTACCAAACACGCAATCATACTTTCGGATTCAACATTCAACACAATCAATTCGCAATAGACATAACAATATCAAACGGCCATGATCATCTAGCCTAACTAACCAAGTTCAATCCCTTTTTAAGACCCATGTCTACTTCAGCGAGAATCCCACATCCCCTAAGCTAGTACATGATCCGGATTACTCTGAGGTTAGCTAAACATCATATATGCCACGGTAAACACCACAATACATCATAACATAGGAATTGCTTATCAGTTCTAACCACATAACATGAAAATCACACAATCAACATGCAAACATTCAACCCTAGCAATCCTACGATCCTAGACACCAACCACAGTCACGCACTCACCTTAGACAAGGCTGGAAACAGATTGGTCAGAAGAAATCCTGATGAAAACTGCACCAAAACAAAGATATCCGATCTCCCTAAGAATCTCTCGGCTACCTGTACGATCCGATCCTTATCCCCTCGGCTATCTCTCGATCCGTTCACCTTTCTTCGAGCCAAACTCTGTTTTCCCTCGAAAACCCCACCAAATAAGGCTATTAGCTCGAGGTTATCCGATGAAAACTCAACACTTAGGGAAATATTTGATCGCTTACCAATTTATCTCGGCGATGGTCGGTTCTGCTCGGTGATAACCTGATCTCTCTCGGATGTCCTCGAGATAAACTGTTTTTCTTAGGGTTTTCTCTCGACTATTCTCTTTTTTTGCTTTATTGCTCTCCAATAAACACAACTCTCCCGAGAAAAGTCTCAAAATCCCTTAAATACTCGCAAAACCCTAGATAACCCGGACTTATCCGATGTTTTCCTGGTTCCAGTAGGTTTTATCCCGGTCCGATTCGATTCTCTCGGCTATTCCCTGTACCGGCTCGACCATTCCTTCGATAAACCACAAAATAACCGACCAAACACTTGGCCCACGGCCCAAATCCCTTCCCACTCGGATAAACTGCCCTTATCCGAGGTGTTTTCCATTTTTCATCCGGATATTCCTATTTCTCTCGGACAACTTGTCCCATCTCGGCTAATCCTCTATTTCTCTCGGAGGTTTCCCTTTCTCCCTCGGAGACAGTCCACTGACACTCGGACTAACCTCCCAGACTCTCGGATAAATCCCCCTGCACTCGGATAAATCCCATTTCCCAACCCTGTTTTCCCTCGGATATGGTCCATCCGGCTCGGCTATCCAGCCCATACCCGACTATTTCCTCGGTCATCACCCGACCATAGTTCGAACCTCTATTTCCCAGCCAATATCCGACCCTTAGCTCGATTATTCCTCGGACAACGCCCTGTCCGGTACGATCATTCTGCATTTTCTCGGATACGGATGCTACAAGACTCTTCTTATATAATCGCCATAGGCCGCCTTGAGTCGAATCCTTCTCCTTCGAGATAAGGATAATTTCCTTTCTTCTTGGGGCTCTATTTCCTTTTCTTCCGCGATTCGAATATATCTCCGGATATTTCTATTTTCAGCACCGACCTAACTCCGGAGGCGGAAATAAGATTTCAAATTGGCGTTTTCTCAATTTATGAAGGACTTTTAGCAAGGGGTGCTAAACCCATCACTAACACTCTTGAATCTCCATTTAAAACTTGTTAGCTTCTTGAAGGGACTTCCTTCTTCCTATCCCACTCAAAGACACGAAATGTATCCAAAGTATGCTTAAACTTCTCCATGGGAACTGGTTGGCTTCACCTTGCTAAAAACCTAGCTCTGTCCTAGAATCCATCCATTTTTTTAAGAGAATGATCATTTGTACCAACTACAAGCATAAGCCTTTGCAAGCAGTGATTTTTTTCCTCTTTTTGCATATGAACATCACAATATTCCCTAAGGCTAGTTCTCCTGAAATGTATCTTCTGGTCTAGTTTCACTAGACTTCTCATGTATTGTTGTAGAGCTTCTGGCAGTTCCAATGACTACATGCACCTAATATAAAATTGCCTATACTCATCAAAATACCAAATCTTTATGATCACTCTCTTTTTTGCCACATGTTCCCAGCCTTCCACATCTTTCTCAACTCCTAGAAAGATGAACATGCTGGAATCAATCTACAACAACGCATATGCAAGATAATCAAGTATATTCTAATTTTATAGATCAATGTCTATCCTTGTTGACATTGCTTCTGCTATATTGTAATTCTTCGATGTTCTATAGTAAACCTTTATAATTGAGAATAGCATTGATGAATTGACAGTGAACCAAATCACTTTCTGGGTCTTTGATGTTCTATCATGAAGAAAAACTTTGCAATTGAGAATAGCATAAAAACATAATATGCATATAAACAGATTAGCTCGGTAACTTTCAAATTACCGAGCGTCAATGACCGAGAGAGTGATTTGGTTCACGGTCAATTCATCGTTGCGCTGTGTACTTGACGATGAATCAGTCTCAAGAGTACTTCTCCCAACGCAAAAACCAGGCCGTTTAGGCTGAGGAATAACCGTTGTTTCACTTCCAAGCATCACCATTACCGACGACATCACTGGTCTGTCTTCAGCACGTTCCTGAACACACAATAGCCCAATTTGTATGCATCTTAAGATTTCATGTGTCTGGAACGTTGATAGTGAAGAATCTGTGATGATCGGATCTACAATCTCTAGCGCATTTCCTTCCTTCCAATGCCTCCATACCTGTCCAAAAAATGGAATTTTTCATTTTAGTGTGCTCATAATCATATTATGAGTGCAAAACATTACAGCATTCAAGAGCTTCTTAGCTTACACAACCGAGGAGATTAAGGTCACGGTTTGCGTTGTAGAATCCATTATTTTTCTTTCCACTTATAATCTCAAGAAGCAAGACCCCAAAGCTGAAAACATCTGATTTCATCGAGAATATCCCATCCATTGCATATTCTGGAGACATGTAGCCACTGCATAGTGAAGATTAACTCATATGTTATTTCTTTTAGATTTGGATTTAAGACAAAAAGCTCTTTGTTGTTTGGGAGAATGATTGCTTACTAAGTTCCGACCACCTTCCTCGTATTAGCTTCTGTCTCATCCCGTCCAAAGATTCTGGCCATCCCGAAATCTGAGATCTTTGGAGTCATATTTTTATCAAGCAAGACGTTACTTGCTTTCAAGTCTCTATGGATAATCCTAAACCGTGAATCTTGGTGAAGATATAGAAGTCCTCTTGCAATACCATTGGTAATATCGAATCTCGTTTGCCAGTTTAGGCTAGAGCGTCGGGTTTTGTCTACAAATCGACCAAAAACGTGTTAACTTGTTCCCAAAGATGTTCAATTGTTAGAACATAAGCTGCTGTGTCACTAACCAAAGAGATGAGAATCAAGGCTTAGATTCTCCAAGTACTCATAGATTAACATCTTCTCTCCCTTAGCAACGCAACAACCAAGAAGCCGGACAAGGTTTATGTGTTGAAGCCTTGCAATGAGTCTAACCTCGTTCTTGAACTCATCGGTCCCTTGTAAAGACATTTTCGATAGTCTCTTTACCGCAATTTCTTTCCCGTCAAGTAACCTCCCCTATTACCACAAATTTTATTATACAACAAAACCTTATGCAGTGATAGATTTTGAATAACTTTTACCTTGTAAACAATACCAAAACCACCTTGTCCAAGCATATTGGCGTTAGAAAAACTGTTTGTGGCCATGGTAACAGCTTCAAACTCCATCAATGGAAGTTCTAGATCCTCTGACTGATTTCCACTGGATTTGGATCTCATGCTTGGTATTGCCACTTCGCTCATTAGCAAATCTTGGCTTCTCGCTTGATCAACTGTTTCATTAAGATAGAAAAAACAATACCGAAAGAAACAGTAAAAAAAATTATATAAAATCTATTATACCAAAACTTACTGACAAAGATAAAGCAAATGATAGTTATTGATTTACCATTAGGCGTTTGAATTGCTATCGATCGCTTGTGCCTCCTTTTCCAAAAGCGGAAGATGATGAAACTTAAAAGAAGCAAAATGCTCACCCCAATACTCGAACCTACGATTTTTGCACTCTTTGTTCTCATGTCCTCTGCTAAAAAAACGAGACATATCATATATCTTTTTCTTTAAAAAGAAAATAAAACAAATCCTCTCAAAGTAAGTTTTGTTGTACTTCTGATCTAAAGTTATACATAAAAACAAACAAAATACTCCCTCCCGTCGTTAAAGAATGATGTTTTGAGATTTTCACAATAATTAAGAAAATTATACAAAAGATTCTACTACGTTTATTTATATTAATTATTATTTGAAAATTTTATTAGATAGCCCTTTTTATAAAAAAAAATGATTAGATAATAAATATTTAAAGGATAAATTAAATAAAAATCACAATAATTACATCTAGAAAATTAAAAACATATAATAAAACACATTTTTTCCTAAAAAATCTATTATCTAGTAAGAGATGGAGTAGTCGTTTTCGAATTTTGTAACCTAAACAATGGTAAACCTAAACATAATTTTTTTTTGGTAATAACTCCAGCGGGAACAAACTAATCTTGAGATGTATATATAAGTTTTTGTGAATAATATAGAAACCAGAAGTTACGCTAAGCACTAAAAGAGAACTATAAAGTTTGGTTAAATCTAAATTCTGTTAGACAGTGTTCAACAGATATACTATTACATTCAAGAAAAACGACTAATATATCAGATCATATTATTAATTGTGAATTAAGTTGGATTGTGGTTGAGAGTTATAATGATTGATTATTTTTTGTCTTTATATGAATTTACTTTAACTACCCTTAATAAAATTAACAAATTAATATAATCTAATTTTTAATTGATTTTTGTTCTTTTTTAAAAAAATCTATATTTCTAAATTCGAATTTATATCATAAAAATATTCAGTTTATTAAAAAAGGTAATTAGCATAAATAAATAAAAAATCCTAATTGTTTTATTAAACTAATTTTAATTTGATTGTTTAACCTACTAATATTTTGACTAACCTAATTGATTTATGACAAAGTATATTCAAATATTGATCGGGATCCCATGGATGTTTTACGGATGGCACAAGCAGAGGCTACAGCGTGGGATTTGGCGCAAATAGATCCATCACAACAGGAAAATCAAAGTACAACGGATTTGGTAGTCCAGGGACAGGAGGGCTTAATATGTCAAACAGATGACTCTTGGAAATCAATATGCTCGAATGTCGGATTATGATGGTACTGTCAAGGCAGTGGAACAGAGGTTACGGTAATGGGGGCGAAAAATGTAAGGCGAAGCATTTCTCCGCTACACACAGAATTAGAAACTCTAATCTGGGCTATGCATTGTATGCTTGATGCACGAAGATTGACAAAAACTTTCGTCACGGATAGTTCTGAATTGGTGAAGTTGGTGTCTGAATCAGAGGAATGGCCGGCTTTCGCTACACACTTGGAGGAATACGAGACAAGCAGGAAGGAATTTCATGTTTTTTCCATCTCACACATTCCGTGCACTCAAAACACAAAGGCAGACAAGCTAGCACATGGTGCTCGGTACTACCTTTACAGTTTAAATTATGTAAACTCATCTCCACATATTTGGTTATCTGAACCGTTCTAAGAGTTTGAAGCTGTTGACCAAAAAAATAATTGATTTATACGACCACAAGTAAAATCCTAAATCATTTAAACCCTTTTAAAACTTTATATATATTAATTAATGTTAAGTTAATATGAAAAAGATCATTTGGTTTTGATCATTTTGGATTGCTATGTTTTTTTTATGCAAACTTTGAATTTCATTAATCTTAATCTACCAATTTACATCAAAAGAAGAGAATTATTTATCAAATTTGATAAATGCAACAAAACAACAAAGCATACATATAAGTTTTTATTGGATAATATAAAAGATATTAAAAATAAGATATAAATAATATATTTTGCTTTGTCACAAAAAATAATATACTCATGAAAATTTCATTTTTTCAAATATATTAAATTTGGTTTCAAATCATTATAAAATCTGTTTTTTATCTATAAATAAACTAATGTTATACTTTTTTAAAAATAATAATTGAACTCCGCATAAAGTGCGGGGAAACACCTAGTTAATTGTAAAATAACAAAATAATTGAAAAACTTTTAATAGAATTGTAAAACGTAAAAAACTATTTTAAATAGATTAATCATGTTTTTTTATATTTTTTATACGGTAGTAGAATGATATTGAGAAATGCCCTGAGATACACATATTCTAAGTATACACTAACACTCTAAAAAGTTACTTTCATAATATTTTTTACTAAAAACTTGACCATATTAACCTTAGTTAGATAAAACATTAGTTAATAAAAGGAGAAGAAATATAGTGTATAAACAAAGGTGTCAATGGCCAAGACTGGTCTGAAATTTGAATCCTTTAATTGCGATTTGTGATTGTGAATCTTATAGATCTTTGGAGTTTTTTTTAGGGCAATTTTCACAATTACACTGAAGATAAGTTTACAGGACAAATATAACAAGGAAGCTAAAATTTTTCCACCCCTAACATTTTTTATTTGAGTTTTCCGATTTTACCCATTTTTCATTTGAATCTTCCTAAATGTTTTTTTTTTCTGTTAATGTTTTGTGTTTTTAGGAAGGTATTCCAAATACTAGAATTTAACATCGTTTCATATGGTTTAGGAAAACTTTCCTAAATTTTTTAAAATTTCCTGAATTTTGGAAGGGCTTCCTGAAATTGTGGAAGGGTTTTCTGAATTGTGAAAAGACTTCTTGGATTTGAGTTGTATAAATTAACAAAAATAATAATCAATTATACCATTTATGAAGGCATTCATAAATACTTGTAATGATTTCCTTAATTTATACATTTTAGGAAAGTCTTCCTAAACTTTAGAATATCTTCCTAAATTTACGCTCATCTCCTTTCTCACCTCTGCGACATCCAAGCCCTATTTTCCGCTGATTTCTTTTTTTTCACCATTAATGTTGTTTTAGCTCGGGTTTCTTGAGTTTTTCATCAAATTATATCAGATCTATCTATTATTATATGATTTTGAGCTTTAAATCCCAAAATTACTTTCCCATAAAAAAACCCCAAAAATCTAAGAGATTTATAATCACAAATCACAATCATATGAGAAGAGTGATCCCAATCATAACAAATGATTTGATTTCGGATCAGTCTTGGCCATTGATATATTTGTTTGTATATTATTTTTCTTCTCTTTTTATTAACTAATGTTTTGTCTAACTAAGATTAATATGGTACAAAATGTTATAGAAGGAATTTTTTAGAGTGTTAGTATATATATGGAACAAAAACTTAGATTAGGTGCATTTGAGGGAATTTCTCTTTTTTTTTATGGGAAAGTGTTTTCGGTATTTAAGCTTAAAATCATATAGTGGAAGATAAATCTGACATAATTAGGTGAAAAACTAAAGAAATCTTAGCTAAAACAACAATAATGGTGAAAAAAAAATGGCAGAAATAAGGGTTTTGGTGTCGTAGGGGTGGGGAATGAGATGAGAGTAAATTTAGGAAGATATTTTAAACTTTTTGGAAGATGTTTCTAAAATGTATAAATTAAGGAAGTTATTATATATATTTAGGAAAGCCTTCATAAATTGTATAATTAATTTTTTTGTTAATTTATACACCAATTCAAATTCAGGAAGTTCTTCTACAATTTAGTAAGCTCATCTACAATAGAGGAAACTCATTCACAATTCAGGATTTTTAAAAAAAATTAAAAAAAAACTTTCCTGAATTATATGAAACGATGTTGAATTGGCCTTCCTAAAACATCATGAAATATCGACAAAAAAAAATTCAGGAAGACTTTTCTAAAGGGCAAAATCGGAAAGATCAAATGAAAAATGTTAGAGGGTGAAAACATTTTAGCTTCTCTGTTATATTTGTCATCAAAAGCTTGTTTTCAATGTAAATATAGAAATTGCCCAGTGATATTTTAAAAATATAAAAATATGATTAATAATATGAATAACCGAATAGAATCAAAATTTCAAAGCGAACAGTATGAAAAAAAAACTGTATACCATTCAAATAAAATAAAATAAAAAACTCATTCTGCATTTTCATTAGTTCTCTTTTTAACAAAGCGGGATTCTTCCAGATTTCAGTATTTTTCGCTTACTAACGAACGGAGTATTCACATGTCTTTATTTTTTACCCAATTTACTAAAAATCCGTATATAATATTTTTCTTTTCATATTATTTTTCAAATCTCTACAATGCACTAACTATTTTCTGTACATAACTTCTATTTATTAATTTTATATTTAGTATTTCTTTAAATTATAAACCTAAAAAAAAACATCAGCAATATATATTGTTGATCAAAAAATCTTTAGAGCATCTACATTGGTTACAGTTTAACTTTTATTTATGTAAAGACTATAAAATTTTATTAGATTTAAGCTAAGAACCTCTTTGATAAGCAGATCCAACCGAGAGCACAAACAGACGAAACTATGACTTAAGACCACTTTTTTTTTTTTAATTTTTAATAGGTCACATATAATGTTAGTAATAATAAGTTTATACATATACTAAATTTTAAAACCTACGTTTTCCTTTTTTTAAAAAAATAAGTAAATTGGAATTGTAAAAGAAAATACAAATATTTATTATAAACTTTAAAACAAACAATAAATTGGACCGGCATTGTAAATAAGAAAAAAAAAAACCCTTTAAAATTGCAAAGAAGAAAGAACTAACCGAGATCAGTAGCTGCTAGTCTAACGTATAGATCCTGACCCCCATTTGCATAGTTCCGGATATCCAAAAGATCTTTGTTCCAAATCACACAACCTGACCCGCCATAACGAATATCCGCATTAGCGAATGCCGTACAATTACAATCATTTAGACACCGCTCTTTACATTCTTTCACCCCAATTTCTCTGTCCACAATTGTCGCCGTAGTATCCGGCAACTTCATCTTCTTCAACCGCACAAACCCATCTTTACCATCGCAGCTCAGCCTTGTCTTCCTTACACAACCAGCAGAATCATCTCTCAAAGCCCACTCTTGCTCATTTCTTGGCTCAAACCCTTTGATACAATTACAGCCTGGTAAAGTGCTGGCATCGCAATAACCGTAATTCCCACACTCTTTGTAGTTGTCGCATATGTCCTTTGGTTGGTACCATAACTGTTTCCAATTTTGTGCTGCCTCAATCCAAGTTAATCGTTGTATTAATCCCGTGGAGCTTAGGCTTAATGTTGAGTAAACGTTGGCTTTGGTGATTCGGTAAGCGTAAGTTACTTCTTCTTTACTCGCTGTGAAATTGTAAACCATGTAATCAATTGGCTTCATCTCCGGTACGCAGCTAAACCGGTTTCCGATCCATGGACCGCTCCGGTACACTATTGAGTCTCTCTTGAATACGTAAAACTCAGGGAACCCTCTGGCTTCGAGTTCAGTCAAATAATCACCGCTTGACGGATCTTCTGGAGTTTTCCAGGATCTCAAGAATCTGTTGATTCCAGATTTCTGATCCCAACCCAGTTTCATCTCCGGAAGTAAAGTATCCGTCGGAAAATCGAAACTCTGCCACAAAAACCTATTGTGGGAGTCTCTGACCACAAAATTACCATTATCAAGAAGCTCTGCAACCACCGGGGATCTCACATCTCCGCCCGTTAGATTGGTCGACCAAACAGGTGTATGGGATTGATCGAAAATGACGATGTTATTGTCGGAGATTTTGAGAGTTCCGATGGAATTGGAGAGAGGATTGTCTCTGTTAGCAACCCATACGTAGGTTCTTGTAGAGATTTTCTTGTACCAAATCCCGAGATACCAACGAGAACTTGATGCGGGATTGAAGAAACCAAGCTCGAAGATTTCACTAGGAGATATAATGGTTTTCTTGCTCGATATAGTGAGAGAATCTGTAGCCGACAAAGTGTTGGCAGAGATACCGAAAGCAGGAAAGAAAATGAACATGAAGAAGACGAAGAGGAAGGTGAAAAAATGGTGGCGATTTGGTACACTTCTCATCTCTCACTCTCTCCCGCTCTCTCTACGCCACTTTCTTGAGAAAATTTATGTACACGCAATTGAGAATTTTTATCTTTGGAGATTTTGGAGTTAGGACATACACTACTTTAATTTGTGAACGTTGTTTACACAATTGTTGATGATATTTCCTTTTCAGTTTTATTTTCTTTTCTTGGTCTTTTTGTTCGCATTCGAAATATATACATGGACAATAGTGTTGACCTGGTAGTGGTCGTTTTTATTCTTCTCTACAATTTTTTTTTGATCAAAAATTAAAGAAAATCATTTTTTTTTTGTAAAAAGAATTTTGGTTTTTCGTCTAAACTTTTTTAATTTGTTGCCGTTATTACATTACAATGGTTTTTACAAAAGGTTGTAAAAACACCGGACAAACAATATACAAACACGAAGGATTTGGGTCGTAAATAACTGTTTTTGCTAGAGTACACAGGGACATTAGTTCGCTGATCTATTCCTGCAAGAGAATTTTCCCATTGTAAACATTGCAGCCCACGATTTGATTGTCTTCACAGAGTGTTGCAGTTTGATGTTCGGCGGGTTGTCATTCAGTATACGACGATAGCCTAAAGGCCAATAAATTTCCCCAAATAAATTCCCATTTATCAGTGTGTTTTGTAATTTTCTTCGTTTACCTCAAAAATAAAATCTCGTCAACCCTCTTTGGTTCTACTAATTTGATTTGATTTTTGTATTTTTCCTTCCAAATATCAATCCGCAAAACAACCCACTTTGCACGTTAGTGATAATTTCATAAATACCACTCATATAGATATTATTTTCAAAAATCAAACTATTTGATGTCTATTTTCAGAGATACCACTATTTTAATTAAATACTCCAGTCAGTGATTACTATATTTTTAACCTTCATAAACAAAATTCAATCAATTGTCTTTGTCATCGATTCTGAAAACGTTTCATATATAGATATTCACGGGAATTTTTTAAGATTCTCCCTTAAACATCGTTTACATTCGCTACGTCTCACAAAAGTTTGCGTCTTTCTGCCAAATGTCACTCGAATTCGCAGTGGCAGTGCAAACAGATGATTAAATTTGAGTTCAAATTTGATTTTCTTATATTATATAGACACGAAGTTATGATGACCTTTCAACTAACGTGGTCCTTGTAGGCCCAAGTATATCGTGTTTCACAACCTATTAAATTTTTGTTTTCTATGTGTATCGCTCCGTAGGCATGTTTTTATTTTTTTACAGCATATGCATGTTGTTCACTAGTGATACAATTCACATATTTAAGAAATTTATTCTTGCGACAATAACTCTGATTCAACACACAAACAGTTACGAATCTCTCAAATTCAGCTCACGGATTTCTCTCACTCACTCAATTGAAGAAACAAGAATGAAAGAAAGTAGAAAAGCAAAGGAATGACACAAGAGATTGTTCACCTAGAATTCTCATCTGATGTAGAATACTACTTTCTGGAGTCAGACTCCAGCAATTAGTGAATCACTAACACTGAAGGAATTGAATTCTCTGTCGCAGAGAATCTCGCCGGAAAAGCTACTAACCTTTGTGAACAAACGCGGTGTTAGCCAAGATCGTACAGCTTCGATCTTACTTTTATCAACAGCGAGGCCATTTTTGGAGATTATATATCCAAGAAACAGAACATGATCTTTACCAAATTCACATTTTTGCTTGGCCACAAAAAGCTTGTCTCTCCGCAACACATCGAGGACACAATGAAGATGACCAATATGCTGCTCCAAGGAAGAGCTAAAGATGAGAGAATCATTAAAATAAACCACATCAAATTTTCCAATGAAAGGCTGAAGAGCTTAGTTCATAATGCGCATATAAGTATTGGGTGCATTAGACAATCCAAAGGGCACTACCAACCATTTGAACAATCTCTCGCGCGTCTTAAGCGTCTTTTTCCATTTATTCCCAGATTTGATGTGAATTTGGTTATATCCACTCTAGAGATCAAGCTTTGAAAATATGGCTGTTGTATCTATCTGATCCAATAAATCATCCATGCGAGGTATAGGAAAGCGATAGCGTATTGTTATCTTGTTAATGGCTCGTCTGTCTACACAAATTCTCCATGGACCATTTTTTTCGAATTAACAAAGCTGGACTGCGCATAAGCTAAGACTCTTCCATATTTTTTCTACCAAGGCAAGCTTTTATTGGAAACTTGAGTTTTCTCTTTTTGATTTTTATTAGGTTTATCAAAATCAAAACTGACTAAAAACCAATAGCTATGATTTCCTTATATAGCCACTGACACCATCCTAAGGCTATTAGGAATCCTAATATGAAAAGGAAAAACACATGAAAATAGAAAAATCATAAAAGGGAAAACATGACTTGGAGAACACGCCTAAACACCAATGATAGGGCTCAGGTTTTACCCAAATAAAAAATACTGCAAATGCACAGCAAAGCAGTCGTAGTATAACGGGTATCGAATCCCAAGGGAGTATGTAAACTACACTAACGATTTCAGATTCAGATTAAGCTAAGCAATAAATTGTGTATGTAATGCGAAATAACAAAATAAAAGAAAGCAGGCAAAATTTGTTTGACTTAAGACTCAGAAAACTAAAAGCGCTAAGTCAGGACAATTCGCAGGTTGAATCCGAGAATGTAGAATGCATGAAATCAAGAATGAATAAGAACCGTCTTGAACATGAATCACAAATATATAACTAATCAATTCTCATTGCAGAAGTTAACTATGTCTAACTCACAGAGTTTCAAATCTCTTTGCAAACCCTAACAATCTAAACATGTAGTAATGATCAAGTTCAATTGTTCACAAAACTCCTAAGCCAAATCTCTTTGCACTAAGTCGTTTTGCTCATCTAATGTCAGATCAGGTTATCAATAATGCTCTCACATCTATTAAACAACCTATGATTTTCGGATTTCTAGATGATGTGTCTAAGAAATCGGTTTTTAAGCAAGCAGAGATGAAGAACCAAAAGATATTTCTAACAGATAGCAATTTTACAAACTCTTCATCAACCTTTGAAAAGCTCTAACTTAACTAGCAAATTACTCAGACATGATCATGAAATCACAAAGCATAGCTGAATAATATTGCATTGAAAGAATATGATAAAAGATAAAGGGGTTCGAAATCTTCTCCAAAAAGAGTACATAATCTGTCTCCCAAAAAGCCCTGAATAAAATCCTCTCTAAAGCTCTCTGAATTCTCAAAATCTAAGATAAAAACCAACAACGGCTGAAAACCTAATATATACAAGCTAAAACACGAGATGGGGCATTTTTGCAAATACTGGAATTTCTGGGCCAATTCTGCAAATAATTCTCCATCTTTTAGAAAACCAGCCGCGACTCCTTCCTCTACGGGTGACGAGCCAAAATCCTTCTTCCGAATTGCACACTTCGTGGCTGTATCTTACAATGCTCCAATAATCTTCAATATCTCCAATTATACACCAGACATGCTATAACCTGCGAAGACTCTACTAACACTCTAAAAAGACCAAAAAGACTCAATAAAAAGGACTAATACCATGGTTAAAAACCATAAAAACCATGATATATCAACCAACACTTTATGACTTGATCTCCCTAACTAGATAAGGATGCGCTGCATCACATACAAAGAGTTTATCAAATATGACGATTGATTATTGCCAAGATCTGATTATATACCCTTTTATACTGAACCAAGGGTTTACAATAACTAGCCTAATCAGACTAAATCACCTAACCAAAACCAAACCAGCCGGTTAAGTAATCTAACCTGATTAGATGAAGAACATATCTTAAGACTTAAATGAAGCTAACATGACTTGAATTTTATACCAATATTTAACATTCTCTACCATGGGCTAGTGTTCGATCAAACAATGCTTCCTTCACCATTCAACTTTGTGCTCTCCCTGTGAAATTACCTTCTGAACTCACACCATCTGGAAAAATGGTAAGTCTCAAGCTGCAGAAAATTTGAGCAAGTCTAATGTAGACTTGGAAGTCCCAGCTGATATTCTGACGAAAGTTATACTTCACAGCCACGTGCTTCGTGTGCTCATGCAAAACATTATTCATCGACAAGAAAATTGCACTTTGTGAGTCGCACCAACCTTCATCGCATCCTGCTTAAATCTGAAATCTTCCAACTCACGATGTTACCACCAACCGTGATTACAAATCCTGATATAAACCTTCTGCGATCTAAATCAGCAGCATAGTCAGAGTCACAAAATCCTTGAACATGCAAGTCTTTATCTTTCGTATACAATAGTTGCAAATCTATTGAACCCTTGATGTAACAAAGTAACCATTTCACAGCTTTCCAATGTATGTGACCTAGGTTACTCATAAATCGGGGCACTAGACCAATAATGTAAGCCGAATCTGGTCTTTTCAGAAAGTTTTGAAATTCTCTACAAAGTGTCGTTTCAGTTCTTAGGGGATGTTTTTAAGGAGAGGCGATTCTTGTTACATATGATTCTTGCTGCGTAAAAGTGTGGAGAAAACAGGTTCACCAGACCTATGTCAGAGAAACGTTTGTAGGCTCTATAGTGTTCTGATCAGACTGAAACTTAATGGAGAGCTTAGTGGCACTGTTTTTACCAGAAACAACGGTGGGATTCACATTCCAACGGTTATTTCAAGATTTATTCATGCATTTCTGTGGCATATCTGTACAGAATGTGCAATAATTAGTGTAATGAGAAGATATGTTTGGATAGTTAAACAAGCTTGATTTGAACTGAGTACTATGATGAGATTATATGGCGATGTTCTGACCAAAAGAGAGCCTAGTTTAGTCTTGGAAATTGAGGTGGTACGTTTAAGTCGTGGTGTTTTTGGTTAGACATCAAAAGTATCTGGAAATTCGATTCCACTGTCTTCAAGAGTGAAAGAAAAGCTGTCTTAGTTCCTGTTAACTTGCTTTGGGCTGGTCTTGAGATACACAGAGATGCAAACATCAGATCTGGGGTAGTTCTTCTATAGTGAAAAACAGTCTAAAGGGTTGGTTAGAGCTGTGAATGATATCAGGAATTCTTTTCATCAGAATAACTCTGCGATCAAGACTAGTCTATCTTTTTAAGATAATGGTTGAATCCGGTATTGTTTCAAAGTTGAAAATCAGAGGCAACATGATTAAGGCAAGCATTAAGGCTTGGGCGAAGGGTTTCTCTAGAAGATTCAGAATTGCTTCATGAGAGACGTTGGTTAGTATTCCTAAACTTCAGGATGGATGAAATGCTCAGAGATTGGTGAACTACATTCACGCTGCAGCCAAGGTTACAAAGAATGAGTTTTCAAAGTCGTTTTTTTTGTTACTTCTGGTTAAGAAAATCAGTTGGTTATGTCTCTGAATTTAATTGATGAAGCTGGTTGCCTACTAAAAAACTCTTGTCAATGGTTAAATCTTGGCAACCAAACTAATTAAGTCTGTAGCACAAGCGTGAATTATACGAAGTGATTGGAGGATCATAAGTGCAGATAGTTTATGCTCTCAAAACGTCATGTAAGGAGTTTCAGATATGCTGCTGTCCGAGAATCAGAACGTGTGGTTACAACAACAGAGAAGTAAAGCTTTTGAGAAACACAGAGAGTGGAATACGGGACTGCAAAGACTGTTTGTACAACTGAAAGTGTTTCTGTAAACACTGTTGAAGAGTTTGCCCAGCTGCGTTTAAGTGTGAAAGAACAGTTTCCGTATTTTCTTGTATCTTGCTCAGTGTTGGTAAAGGTCTTCTGCAGTTGATTCCTAGTCATACAGAATCTGCAATGGAGATTGGAACTTGATATTGCACATAAGCATACTTTTGCAGAAAGCAAGCATTCTCTTTGAAGATTCCAGTCTCAAAGGCTCTTTTTTTTTGTCTTTTTAACTCAGTTGTGTACTCAAGCAGGAGGAGAAGACACACATGATGGTGATGTACTGATACGGTTCGAGACGACGTTTTTAACTATGGTTACATGTAATGTAAGCGTAACTCATGCTGGAGGAGTTTGGCGTCCTATGGGGGAGTTCAGAGCTTAGCTTATGGGGCAGTTCTTTGGTTTTGAAAGTAAGCTCGAATTCTGTTTTTTGCTCTTTGCTCCATTCTCGTGCTTTTTATTGCTGCTTGTTGTTGATTAGTGAATGGAATGCTTGAGTATCAAACTAAGCTAAAAAGGGGGAGATTGAAGATGTAAAATCTTAGAGCTTGGTTCAGAAAACACTCATGTCATAGTTCTAGTTTGCTTAGGTTCTAATACTCAGTCATCAAGGGGGAGATTGTTGATGTATCTTACTGGCTTGAGAACCTGATGGAACAAGACATGTCTCAATGGTTGTGACATATGAAGCAGAGACACATGGTTATGTTGATACATACTTTCAGACAGTACGTAGTGCTTGGTTTAGAGGCTGAGAGAGCCTCGATGTAGATGTTGTGGCAGTTCAGACTAAACACATTGAGATGGAACTGACACACAAGCCGAGGTAGTACTTGAACGCAGAATCTGAGAATGTACTTGGTATGAGCGTTGATACAGCAGAGGAGATATCAGAACGTCTGTTGAGACCTGGTACATCAGAGGATGTATCAGACATCGTATCAGGAGGCAAGGTCTTGACGTCGACCAAAAGATGACGTGGCAAGTGGCTTGCTGAGCTGGACTAAGTTGCTAGGATATGTTATATTCGTTGCAACAGATTTGGCAAGTAGATAAACTTAAGGAGCAAGTTGCATCTATCTGTAATCGTTGGAGGTCTTAAGTTCTAGGGTTAAGCGATAAGTGTATATATACCAAGGCCGTCTCATAAAGACTGTGCGCGCCTAGGGTATCATTGACAGAGGCACATGTTGAGTGTGGCGTCTCCCCCACCAGATAGACAAGATGTAGATCTATAAGCTCTGTTGGTGGTGTTCCTGTGAATCGAGCAATCTGCAGAAATATTGGATGTGTGAGGATTCACAGTATAGGTTCATGTAGAAAAGATTTCATACAATCATGTAACTGTTATCTTGTTCTAATAAAATTGTTCTGGACGAGGTCCCGAGGATGTAGGGCAAGCTGAACCCCGTAAACAAACTTGTGTGTTATTTACTTTATACACTTTACATGTTTGTTCTGTTCCTCTCCTCTATAGAACTTATGTAGTGCCACAAATCTGTACTTTCACGATCATCTGGGGTTTTCCAGGATCTCAAGAATCTGTTGATTCCGGTTTTGTGATCCCAACCTAATTTCATCTCCGGAAGCAAAGTATCTGTTGGAAAATCAAAACTCTGCCACAAGAACCCATCTGGATCGTTATTGTTAAAGTGTTTAAGCACTAAATTACCGTTGTCGAGAAGCTCTGCAACCACTGGAGATCTCACATCTACTCCAGTTAGATTTGTTGACCAAACAGGTGCATCGGATTGATCGAAAATGACGAGATTATTGTCAGATATTTTGAGAGTTCTGTTGGAAATAAAGAGGATTGTCTCTGTTTGCAACCCATACATAAGTTCTCTTAGGGATTTTCTTGTACCAAATTCCAAGATACCAACGAGAACTTGAGGGGGGCTTGAAGAAACCAAGCTCGAAGATTTAACCAGGAGATATATTGGTTTTGTTGCTTGAAATGGTGAAAGATTCTGTAGCAGACAAAGTATTTGAAGAGATAGAGAAAGCATGTAACAAGAGTAGATGAAGAAGGTGTAAGAAAGGTTTGATACACTTCTTATCTCTCTCTTTCTCTGCCACTTTCTTGTGTTTTTTTCTTCTTTTAGAGAAAATTATATGTGTATTTGAGACTATATTTGAAGATTTGATACACGATTTTTTTTTCTATCTAAACCTTTATTTGTGAAGTGATTTTGAGGAATAGAGTTTTCTCATTCAATCTCACTAAACATTACCTAAGTATCCTTAATGAAAAAAATCGCTAATTTATTCTAATATTTTCTGAGATTTTCAATATTATTTTTTGCTGATTTTGTGTATATCTCGAATTTAATATTTAGATATTTCTAACATTTTTTAATTTCTAAATTAGTTAGGAAATAATCAAAAAAAAATATTCGTTGGTTTAATGATTCTATGGTTATCAAACTGGAAATAACATTAATATAGTTACCATTATTCTATGCGAATCTTAATAAAATCTACGTAATTTCGTATACTTTCTAAAACTTTAAAATTATTCTTTTAATTCGGGTCGTGGCCCATAATGTATAAGCGGTTGTCATGTAACCCTAATCTTCTTTATATATATATAGTTCAGTATTCTAGGATCTGCAAAAATTATCAATTTTTTTGGTTGTTCTTCGTGTTTGTTAGATTTTGTATTTTGGTGAAATTTTCATACGCGTATCTAATGAATTTTTTTATATGCATGCAGTTGATGGTTTTGTTGACCTTCTTGAAGCACTGCCCTGCTTAGACGGTTTGCTCTCTACATATATCATATAGATGTATTACATTCTTTTGTTGATTTGGATTTTTGTTTAACCTTTTTTGATTTTGTTGACAGTTAGATTTTCGGCGCTGACTGCGTTTCGACTACGTGAAGAATCATATAAGTTGTTTCCTTCTTTGTAGTTTTGCAGCTGATCATGTATTTGATTTTATATTTGATTAATATTTTCTTATGTATACAGTTATTTGATGAATTTATTCGTATATGCTTACCTAATGAATTCTTCATATGTATTATGTAGGTGGTATGGCTTTATTGATCATCTCGATTTGTTGATCTGGCTTAAACGGTATGTTATGTGTTTATAACGAATATACAGATGTATTATGTTATTTTCGTTTATACTTTTTGTCTTTTTATTAATGACTGGATATTCGTCGATATATGCCGGCTTCGGGTTTGTGAGGTGATATATCATGGTTTTTATGGTTTTTAACCATGATATAAGTCTTTTTTATTGAGTCTTTTTGGTCTTTTTAGAGTCCTAGAAGAGTCTTTGCAGGTTATAGCATGTCTGGAGCATAATTGGAGATTTTGGAACCTTTTGGAGCATTCTGGGTTGAAGCCACAAAGTACCAAGCTCGAAGCATAAAGTATCACATATGGTGACGCTCGTCACCACCTTTGGTGACGCTCGTCACCCATCAAGGAAGGAGCGTGGCTGTTTTATTAAAAGTATGAAGAAGATTTGCAGAATTGGCCAAGAAGTTCCTTTATTTACATGAAGACCCCAGATCGTGTTTAGCCTCTATTTATTAGGTTTTTCAGCCATTGTTGGCTATTATCTTAGTTTTTGAGAATTCAGAGAGCTGAGAGAGAGATTATTCAGAGTTTTTTGGGGAGACAAATCCTGTACTCTTTTGAGAAGATTTCGAACCCCCTTTATTTCTTACTCTTTCTCTTAATGCAATTTTATTCAGTTATGTTTTGTGATCTCATAATCATGTCTGAGTAATCTGCTAGTTAAGTTAGGATTTTTCAAAGGTTGATGAAAAGAGTGTAGAATCGCTATCTGTTAGGAATATCTCATGGTTTTTCATCTAAACTTGCTTTAAAATCGAATTTCTGAGACACATCATCTAGGAATCCGAAAATCATAGGTTGTTAAATATATGTGAGAGCATTATTCATAACCTGAACTAGTATTTGATGAGCAAAGCAACTTAGTGCAAAGAGATTTGGCTTAGGAGTTTTGTAAACAATTGAATCTGATCAATCCTGCATGTTTAGGTTGTTAGGGTTTGCAAAGAGATTTGAAACTCTGTGATTTAGGCATAGATAACTTTTGCAATGAGAATTGATTAGTTATACATCAGTGATTCATGTTTAAAACGGTTCTTAATCATTCCTGATTTCCTGCATCATACATTCTTGGATTCAACCTGCGAACTACCCTGACTTAGCACTTTTAGTCTTCCTGAACTTAGATCATCTCACACAATCGTTTGCTTACTTTCATTCATTCATTCGCATTACATACATCATATTTTGCTTAGCTTAATCCGAATCTACATTCGATAGTGTAGTCTGCATTACTCTCTTGGGATTTCGATACCCCTTGTACTACAACTGCTTTTGCTGTGCACGTGCAGTAGTTTTATTTGGGTAAAACCTGACCCTATCATGAGGTATTACGAAAATGCTATTTCATTTTTCGTAGTTGTTTAATGGATATTATATTTTGATTTTGTATATGCTTCTTTAGTTTTTTTTTTCATGTATATGCAGGTAGTATGTGTTCGTTTTGGTTTGATTTGGTATATCCTATAGTCTTAGTTGATGAATATAAATAAGATTATTTTTGTTAAGTATTTTGTGATATTAACTGGGCGTTTGTTTTGTTTCGGATGGCTAAGGGTTGTTCACTTTTAATTGGGGGTTGGTGGGTGTAGTGTTATCGCACCTTCAAATATATTGTCAATGTATTCACATTCTACTCGAGAGGTTTGTGCTGTTATGGTTTTTCTATTGACTTATTGTTTCAGAGTTTATGTAGTCTCTTTTGTGATGTTTATATTCTCTTAATAAGGTCAAATTGTATTTGACGTTTTTCTATATTTATATCTAATGATTTTTTTTATTATAATATTTAATGTGTGTAGGGTTCTTGCAAGGGTGTAATTAATGATTTGTCCAATGTTGAGTTTGGAGTGTAGAGGACGTGTTGGGATCACCAAAGATAGAAAGTTTCAGATTCTTGAGTGTATCTACTTGATCGTGTATGCCTTTAAGAGAAATACTTTCATTGATATTTCTTCGAGATTAATGTAATTTGATTGTATTAGATTATCTGTGATTTGTATTTAGGCCGTCTATGATTTGTAATAATGTTGTGTTCTCTTAATAAATTATTTTCTTATTCTGTTTGGTTGTTTCATGATATCTCGATTGTTTTTTTTTAAGATGTCTAAAAATAAGAGCTTAGCGTACTAATTAAAATTTGTTAGTATGTGGTATCTTGAACGAGACTATATAAGACGGGGTGTTTATATGCATATTGATGTATATACATATAATAGGTGTATATTATTGACATCTTCTAAGTAAAATTAAAAAAAATGGGATATATCCTGCAGTATACTATTCTTATCCATCCAGAAATTTCTATATTAATTTACTTTAAGTTTTTGTAGATTAGAATTGTAAGAATATCATGCTGTTCGGTATCAGATATATTGGACTATACTAGGATATTAAAGTCGTTGTCATTTATACTATCTAATAATATTTGGATAGTGATAGTGTAGATTGTTGTCATGTCTTTTTATATTCGATGTTTATTTACTTTCGTTGGATTCGTATGGGTCGAATTAATTAACTATTCGTTTACTTGGGCCCAATATGGTTTGCAACGAGTTCGATATGGACAAATAATGGGAAAGTGAACGGATGTCAGTGATTTTTAAAAGAATATTTGTCCCCAAAGTAGATTGTTTACTGCCATATATCGCCTTTTAGGGGTTTTTAAGCCGCATAACCTTCTTTTCTTTGCCGTTCGAAAGGACCCATAAATAAACAACAGGAAGTACCTTCCGATCTTTGCTTTGGCGTTATTTTCTTTGCTATGGATTCTCTTTCTGGGATAAAAAAAGGGTTTCATTGAGCGGTCTGTTCGTGTGAAGGTTCTTCGAATTTGGAGACAGGTCAATTTTTTCGGTCGTACATTGGAGCTAATAATTATCGATAATCTGGTACAGTTTTAGAAACCAACAAATGGAACAGGTTACTCTTTTCTGTTTGCATTTGAAAATTTCTTTCATACTTTGTTGCTTATTTAGGTTTTGATCTCTATTTTCGGCTAGCGAACAAAAATCTCGGTGACTGTCTTGCCCGGTGAATTGCTTATTTATGAAAACTACTTCAAGGAAGGATCTTGGTATGAGTTCTGTAATTTCGAAGTTAAACGCGAGACTGGATCTGTTATTTTGTCTGACTATGATCAAAAGATCGAGTTCGGTCGTTTGACAAGGGTTAGGAGATTTGATGATGGACCTACTGGATTATTTCTTCTCTGTCGGCGAATTTTTGATATTCGTACGAGGGAGTTTGAACCTTGATCTTTAATCGGTAATTTGTTTTTGGATTTTTTTAGAATTTTTTCATACTTGGTTACCGTGATTGTATGTGTCTGAAATATGTTTTGTCACAGAAGTAATGGGAACGGTTTTAAAGATGGGAACTCTGCAGGACAATAACAATGATGCATACGAGGAGGACTTGTGTCACGTTAGTTTTGAACTCTGCGATGCATGGTTAGTAGTTTGTAAATTATTTTTGAAGAAAATATTGTTGTTGTTATTTTATGGTATATTCATAGTTGATGTCGTTGTCATAGGAAGGATGGTGTCATTGCATGTACTGCGAGATGAGCTATTGCTAGGCACTTTGTTCGTGTGTACGAGCAAAATGATGCTGAATCGATAGTATGTGTTCTCAGGTTCTGGATGGATACCGATGGCAAACGTAAGTATATTATTATGTGTAATAAGTAAAAAAAAATGATATACTTTGTCTTCAGTTTCTAATTAAGCCTAATAAGTGTTGATTGATTTTCTTTGTTTCAAGAGTATATTTAATATATTTTGTTGTACAGGTCCCGACTCTAAGGATGTTGTCTTGCGGTCTCATTATCCAAGTTTCCAGTTCATATTTAACCCTCTCGATGATGATGTCCGCGAGTTTCTGGAGATGTGAGTTTCTGGTTTTTATGATCAACTATTTCTTTTGGTACACATTTCATGTTTATGTTTTTGTTTTTGTTAATATTTTTGAATCTACTGCAATGCAGTCGTGATAGCCTCGAC